TGACGCCATGCCCTCCCCTCTACCCGCCCTCTCTGACTTCCCTTCTGGTGAGTGATAGTGACGTCAGCCTTGGGGATCAGGCTGTAGGGAGAACTTGGCCTCAGGCCTGGATCAAGATGAGTCTTAACTCATATTTTTTAGAGGGGAGGCTGATTAGCACAGGAAGGGTTACTCTAACCAAAACCATTGTTTTAAGAAATCACTGTGCTTTGATTGGAGTAACCATTTAAGGCCAGAGTATCTGATCTGCCAGCATAGCTGACTTGGAAACATTTCCCAGTTTGGTTTTCATTAACCTTAAACTTGAGATTTGCATTGAAATAACTTTGAATTCTCACTTTATTGAACGTAGATAAACCATTGGAAATTGTTTGATTTATCCAGGGTCTGGCAGTGCAGGGTTTTGTACTCTCAGCCAACGAGCTTCCCCCTGCTCTATAGAGCTTAGATCAAGAGAGATAATGAAGCTAACAGGGGCTTATTGCTGTCAGTACCAGCAGAGAAAATGTAGGGACTGGTACCAGACAGACCATAGGAAGCAAAAGGTTTGATTACTTACATGGGGGACACCAGAGCATTCCTGGTACCATAACCACTACCAGGCTCTGTAGTAGATTTGGTGCTGTGGATGCTCTTTTAAGTTCAGCAGAAGGAAAGTCTTAATAAACAATATAGTATTAATGGAATGTTCCAAGCATAAAATCACTTTGTCTTGATATTAATGTGATTTTGAGACATAGACGCAGCATTGCAAGTTAAAAACAGTGCAAAAAAAACATTAAGTTTTGCAACTCCCATGCCTTTAGCTATTGAATACCACAACGGGGGTTTAACTCTGCAGTAAAGTTCTAAAATCAGAGTAATCACCATGGAAACTGATAGAATGTTGTGTAATCACCATGGAAACTGATGGAATGTTGCTGTTGATTGCTCCGGTTTCAGAACTTTGTCTCAGAACCGATCTTAACAGTTTACTTTCAATGTGTCGGCTCTTAGACCATCTTCAAACATTTATTATTGCTCTGGGCAGATCACAATACCTTTCAAAAACAAATGGCACGAACAAAATTTTATTACAGTTGTGTGATTATAAAGACTTTGTTATAGTAATAGAAACGTTTGTGTTAATCATTCAATCACTGTGTCATAGCTTTGGCTACATAAATGATGTTTCGTTAGAACGCAAAACAAAAAACATTATCTTGAAATTAGCTGTTATTATAAAGCCACACATGAAGTAATTAAACCATGTTGTGCCAAATCAAATTTGATTTTGGTAACATATCATTTTAGGATTTCCGCTGTTTATATCTCTCTGTACTGTAACATATTGTTGGAGATAATTCCTCGTTACAATTTATTTTGGTTGAGATGTTGTGATTGAGACATGCCAGGTCTGAAATGCTAAAAATAAATATAAAATTAGTTTTGTCCAAATGTTCATTTTTAGCTCTTTTTGTTTTCCCTCGCGAAGCCTCAGAGATCAGTCTGGAAGAAATGATTGCTTCAATATCATGCTGGCCTTACAGATGTTTACGAACTCACCCATTCCGAGAATGGACATTTCAGTATATGCGGTCTACCATGTGCATTATGGGAATTGTAGTTCAGGTCAGGCTGAACACCAAAGTCCTGCTTATTTCATAGCAAGTTTATTGAATCCTGGAGATCTATAGAACTCACTATCAAAGAGCTAGTTTCCAATCTTGTCAGTATGTAACAGCCATTAGGGATGTTCATGGGCAAAATATTTGGTTCGGTTCGGCATTCCGAAATTCAGCACTTTGGCAATTCGCCAAATTCGGTTCAGTTCGGCACTTCCGAAATTCGGGACTTCGGCAATTTGGCACTACGGGACTTCAGCACTTCGGGTAAGTGTAAGGTTAGGGGTAAGGTAAGGGTAAGGGTTGGGTTAGGGGTAGGGTTAGGAGTAGGGTTAGGTTGGGTTAGGTGTAGGGTTAGGGTAGGGTTAGGGTTGGGTTAGGAGTAGGGTTAGGATTAGGATTGGATTAGGGTTGGGTTGGGTTAGGAGTATGGTTAGGGTTAGGGTAAAGTTAGGGCTAGGAGTAGGGTTACGGTTAGGAGTAGGGTTACGAGTAGGGTAAGGGTTAGGTTTGGGTAAGGAGTAAGGTTAGGGTTAAGAGTAGGGTAGGGTTAGGAGTAGGGTAGGGTTAGGAGTAGGGCTAGGGTTTGGTTAAGAGTAGGGTTAGGGTTAGGGTTGGGTTAGGAGTATGGTTAGGGTTAGGGTAAAGTTAAGGTTAGGAGTAGGGTTACGGTTAGGGTTAGGAGTAGGGTTAGGATTAGGAGTAGGGTTAGGGTTGGGTAAGGAATAGGGTTATGGTTAGGGTTAAGAGTAGGGTTAGGGTAGTGTTAGGAGTAGGGTTAGGGTAGGGTTAGGGTTAGGAGTAGGTTTAGGATTTGGTTAAGAGTAGGGTTACAGTTGGGTTAGGAGTAGGGTTAGGGTAGGGTTAGGAGTAGGGTTATTGTTAGGAGTTGGATTAGGAGTAGGGTTAGGGTTGGGTTAGGAGTAGGGTTAGGGTTAGGGTAAAGTTAGGGTTAGGAGTAGGGTTACGGTTAGGGTTAGGAGTAGAGTTAGGATTAGGAGTAGGGTTAGGGTTGGGTAAGGAATAGGGTTAGGGTTAGGGTTAAGAGTAGGGTTAGGGTAGTGTTAGGAGTAGGGTTAGGAGTAGGGTTAGTGTTAGGAGTTGGATTAGGAGTAGGGTTAGGGTTGGGTTAGGAGTAGGGTTAGGGTTAGGAGCAGGGTTAGGAGTAGGGTTAGGGCTAGTGTTAGGTTAGGAGTAGGGTTAGGAGTACAGTTAGGGTTGGATTAAGATTAGGGTTAGGGTTAGGTTTAGGATTGGGTTAGTAGTAGGGTTAGGGTTGGGTTAGGGTTAGGTTAGGAATAGGGTTAGGGTTTGGGTTGGGTTAGGGTTAGGGTTAAGAGTAGGGTTAGGGTAGAGTTAGGGTTAGTAGTAGGGTTACAGTTAGGGTTAGGAGTAGGGTTACGGTTAGGGTTGGATTAGGGTTAGGGTTAGAAGTAGGGTTAAGGTAAGGTTAGGGTTAGGAGTAGGGTTAGGGTTGGGTTAGGATTACGGTTAGGGTTAGGAATAGGGTTATGAGTAGGGTTAGGGTTGGGTAAGGAGTAGGGTTAGGGTTAGGGTTAAGAGAAGGGTTAGGGTAGGGTTAGGAGTAGGGTTAGGGTTAGGCTTAGGAGTAGGCTTAGGGGTAGGGTTAGGGTTATTGTTAGGGTAGGGTTAGGTTTAGGAGTACGGTTAGGGTGTTGTGCAAGTTATCACTATAGTAACCACACCAGGTAAAAAGTATCACCCCGAGCATGCGCACTTCACCCTTTGATTGGCCATAGCAGAAGATAGCGACAGTGTATATAATGTATATTTTTCAATGCCAGATACATTTCTATGTACCATTTGCATTCATTTCTGCTATGTGAAGTCTTTATTTAAATGACATAATTAATGTTTTATATCATGTGTCTGGCCTTTACTTTAATTTTAATATTCTTTGATACATGCCTTATGACTTATATGTAATGCCATTTAGATAACGTGTATTTTTCCTATTGGATGGATAGGTGGCTAGCTTTTGTTAATTCCTTTGCAGTCACTAAGTTGCTGCTATTTCCTGCCAGGGCCAATCTTACAATTTGCAGGACCTCACCCCCACCATCATTCACAGAAACAAACAACTATGCCACTAGCATATACACATATACACAACCTTCTACACTTTCCAGGTAGCAACATGATCACACACATCCACAAGCACACACACAGACACACACACAGGCACACACACACACACACACACACACACACAGACAGACACAGACACACACACAAACACACACACACACAGACACACACACAGGCACACACACACATACACACACAGACACACACACAGACACACACACAGGTACACTCTAATACACAATCAGCAACACAGTAACATGCAATTTCAGATCCTTTAACATGCCCGGCATGATGCCTTTGAATGTAAAGACCTTCGATTTTCTAAATTGTTTATAAACAAGTGTGTCTAGTTAGTGTGTGTGTGATAGCCCTAGATGTGTGGTTTGTTTTACATTTTGAGGAAAAAGAGACAGGGTCTATGCACCTAAACAACGTAATTAAGATGAAGTGGTTTTGGTGCTTGAAAAGTTCTTTAAATATGGATAATTGATCTAGTAATAGAGAGTTGTTCGAGCACATGCATTTCACAATTATTTATTGCTGTTATTGAACAATTGATGTTGTCTACCTTGCAAAATGCTATCTGGTATGCTACCTGTTCATTACAGACGTTGATTGTATCTAAAAGGACATTAGTAGAACACACACACTAAAATAGTGTTGTAACTGGATAATTACAATAATGGGAATGGAGCCTACAGTGAGCCAATGTTGCCATCTAGTGGACAAATATTATATTTAATAATATAGCCAATAATAATACATTTCAATCACTGATAGTTGGTCTTGTACATGGCAAGAAAGTTTGGCTCTGCCGAATCATTTTTTTCAAAGATAAAAAAAAATATTTGAGACACCCTAATTTCGGTTCTACTCGGCCATGTCTATTTTTGAACCAAATCAGAAGAGCAAACCAAAAACCCAAAACTATATTGTGTATCTAGTATTTTGCAGTACACCGACAGGAATATTTTTCCGCCATTTTATTCACAGATCAACTGGGAAGAGGTAGCCAATAGAGAAAAAACAAGATTAGCGGTTAAAACAATCTATATTTATATGTTAAATATTTATTAAATATGTGAAAAAATAAATATAGATTTTTTTTTTTTACTGCTGTTTTTCCCTCTGTTGCTCCCTTCTGTCAATAAAAGCAACACTAAGGAGCTGTTCCCTAGCAATCAATAATAATTTTTATTGGTGCTATGGTGGAATTCAGAATATTGACCCTCAAACATGTTTGGCATTGCACCTTTGCGTTCGCCCGGGGTTCTCCAAACTTTGGCTCTCCAGATGTTGCCGAACTACAATTCCCATGATTATTTGGTTATCTCTTTCATTCAAAGAATCATGGGAGTTGTAGTTCAGCAACATCTGGAGGGCCAGAATTTGGAGAACCCTCATGCAGTCCACAATTTGGATATATTCCGGGTTGGCATTCAGTAATTCTGCTGGACACTAACACTACATATCCAACTTTTATTTATGTGATTGTGAAAAAATTGAATTCCCATAGACTTTAATCGTGACTTCTGTATATAAATCACTTTAAAACTTTTCTAACAGTATTGCATCACTTGAAAAGCTTGCTATATCAAGGTCAAAGTGTCTTCTGTGTCCAATCACTGAGAGCTAACACTGATCGTTATTCACTAGAGTAATGACTGCAAGCAATTTAATTATTAAAGTGTGATTTTTTTTTAGGGGGTTATTCAAAAATAATTTTATATTATAACTAGCCAATCAGTTAAAAGTCAGGAGTCAGGAGTGTGTATATAACACTCATCACAAGAAATACATTATGTTTACTAATCCTTGTATTTAACAAAATGTGTTTGCAAAAAATAAAACTCGATGTATAACATCCACATCTCTTTATCCTGTTACTGAGCATAGCTGTAACTCCACCTTAGCTCCCTGTCAGTCATTGTCATAAAAAGTCCATCTTTCGCACCTGGCAGCAAACTTAAAGGAAGCATGGAGAGAAGAGGAGAAATTTGCCATGTCTGAACTGGATTATAATTTGCTAAACTGTTCATATAAACCTTAAAGAGAATAGACCATTTTATGAAAAAGTTTAATACAAGTGATAGGTATTTATTTTTCATTTAATGGTATACAATTGCAGAAGAGAACAAGTTCCTCTTTAAAGTAATTAAAAATAGCACAGCAAAATAAACTCAGTTGTATTTAAAATCCGTAAAAATTAACAACCCTAAATGTAATAATGCCTTTTATCAAATATTGACTGTATAGAACTGTTTCCTGATTTAACACATGCTTTGAGGCATTTTCAATAAAAAGTGCCATTGATTTAGGTTTGTGTTATTAGCCTCGGAATGTAATCATTTAGTCTAACAAGGCTTATCTGATTTATCTGTAAACTGATGAATATTTTAAAGCTTTTAAAGTTAAATTATATCCACCCAATTAACAGGCAAGACATAGACTGATTAATAAATAAAGGTGTATTCAGTCGGGCTAGCTATATGTAAGGGGCTTGAAAATTAAGAATTCATTTGTTTTTAAATAGACTGGATGGAACACCAAAAATCAATTACTGTTTCAAACTGCCTAAGGGGATTGTTGTTCGCTAGTAAAGAAAATTCCATTGTTCTGATTATACCCATAGCTAACCAACCGACAGAATATTTATCATTATTTCAGCGTTTACAAGCCTAGAATCTCTTCAGTAAGCCCTAGGCTGAATATCTAAATCTCAGACAGAGATCGAATAATATAACTCACTCAATTTACTATTGACAAGTCCCGCAAACATGCTGCCAAGCAGACTGTTTATTGACTGCAACACGGCACTGTTTTTTTGACCGAACAACTTTGAAATGCGAACAAAACTTACATAAATTCACGTTCTCTTTGTTTTCAGCAAAGACAGCTAGGCATCATATGGAACTCAATCCCATCGATAGATTTTAACTTCATGATGTTACACTGTGCAGAGATGTATACTCTGATAAAATATTGGAACATTCAGCATTATAAAGTATTATAGCCAATTAAGCTTGTCAGAACAAATGAATGAGTATATTATTTTATAAATGTAGTACACATTCTTATTATTCTTATTGTTAATATTATCTGTATTACTTTTAATGATCTTACATTTGCCTACTCTGGAATGAGAACTCTGCATCTCTAGATTAAACATAAACTTAAGCCTTATCCTTTAATTTAACAAATGTGTGTTTTAGAGTTGTTAAAAACTAAAATGACATGTATAAATCTATATACCTCTTTATCTGTAACTGGGTGCCTTCATCTTGACCCCCTGTCAATCATTGTTATAACCTCTGTCCATTGCACCTGGCAGTCAGTATACAGTGAAGAGTCCATTTATACAGCGCTACGGAATCTGGTGGCGCTATGTAAATAATAAAATAATAATAAGAGGAGTAATGAAACAATGTTTCTATTTCTCCTTCTTATTTGCATTGTATGCCCTGGTTTTGCCAGGACTGAACTGGATTGTGATGTTATTGCTAAATCGATAGAATGAATTTTAAAGATAATGGAGCATCACATAGGAGACATACGATTAACACAAGTTATAGGTGATTTGGATGATTTATTCCAGCCTTTTAATACCTACCGCCCACTTTTGTATCTTAGTTGATGGTAACATTTCCTTACCACCCACCAGTGCCACAGTAACTAATTTTATAGCACAAGTGCAATTTTTTAGAAAGGAGGTTTAAAGTACTTAAACACTTATCAATTTTTACTATTTTCTATTCTACTTTTTTTCTCTGTGTGTATGTGTGAGGGGTGCAGTGTGTGTGCGAGGGGTGCAGTGCGTGTGCAAAGGATGCATGTGCATGTGCAAGGGGGCAGTGCGTGTGAGTGTGAGGGGGCAGTGCATGTGTGTGTGAGTGTGAGGGGACTGTGTGTAGGTGGGTGAGATGTGATAATCTATCTTAATGTCTCCCCCTCCCTTCTTCTTACCTTTTTACCAGGGAGGGGGGACATAATGCTGCAAGCCCTGGTAGTCCAGTGGTGGCATGTTCACTTTAACCTGTTGCTCCTCCAGCTGCAGGCTGACTCTCCTGTCCACCTGCAAACACAGCACTGTATTGGAGCATTGCCATGGTAAACCGCGGCAATGCTCCGACCAGCCCGCTCATGGGAGGAACACAGAGCCTCCCAGGCCCTTCCCTTCTTTGATCTCCTCAACAGCTCGAGAGGCCTTACAGCAAGGCTGGCCCTGCATGGGCCGCCAGAGGAGATGAAAAGATCTGCCCTGCCGGCCTTCGTCCACGGCCATCAAGGCCCACTGGTCGTTTTCTGCAGAACCCACCACCGCCCACCTGAAATCACAAACCCGGTAGTGACCAGGTTGACTACCCCTGGTTTATTCAATGGTGTAAATTGTAGGGATAATTGTAGGACAAAATTCCAGACCAGTGACAGTTCAATTTTAAGTGATCAGATCTCCTGGTCTGGTTTTGTAGCTGATTTCTCCTAGACACATAGTCTCTTTATAGGGGGTAGATGAAGGAGGAATTTAAACTGCATTGTTAACACTAAAGGGTCAGGAATACACATTTGTATAGTGTTCCTTTAATTTGCTTTTTGAGAGTCAAAAATAAGAGGGAATTATTACTGTGAATGCTGCCATCATAGGCAATAGTCTGTTTCTCCAAATTAAAAACTTGACCCTGCTTTATCTTGAGGTTACCTAAAACCTCTTAATTTCCACAGCTGTATGCAGAGACATAACATTAGTTGTTGCCAGGGCTGTAGCTCAGACAGTGATTTTGTGTCCCGTTTTTCACAGGTCAGGTATGAAGAAGACCTCGCTCCCCCTGTACTCTCAGGAACTGAATAACCAAAAGGTACCACCAGGGAAGCAAATAACCATTATGTTATTTCATGAAAATTGTTAAATATTTTAGCATCTGACTCTAAATCTAAGCCAATAGATCTAAAAACAAAATACAGTTATCCAAGACCTTCGTGTGACTTGGGGGCCATGGCTAGTTTCTTTATCTTTTTCATGTATATAGTATTTATTTACTAATGTGAGACTTTATTGTGAGTTCAAGTGAATTTCAAATGAAGGCCTCAATTTATTTTTATATAAGCTTTTCAAATCAATTTAATAATTTTAAAATGATTTTATATTTAAATGTTTTAAATGTATTTTTTTTAATATTAAAATGTTTCAAAATATAGCAATATTTCAAAATATTTAAATGTATTTTTTTAAATAGTAAATAATTTTAAAAGATTTTCCAAAATTGTTAAATTATTTTAAAAGCTCATCCATATATTAAATTGGAGCCTTAAAGTCAAAATAGCTCAACTGGATTTAACTACTTACCTATAACTTGCAATTCTTTTTTAATTCTCACGTTAGTAAATAACCCTGTCGGTGTAAAAATAGCACAAGTCGTCTGATGCAAATGGTCAATGGAGTTAATGAGAGCAGGGTCTGGGACAACATGTCTACAAATCTGATTCCACTCCAGCATACTACTCCGTGTTCCGTGGAAGGTCTGGGCAGGGGTGGGGATTTTGTGGCAACTCATGTGGGACAGGTGGAGTGGCAGATCTTGGCGGAGGTCGGGGTTCGTTTGTGTTTGTTCTTTTTTGTTTATGTTATATGTTTATTTTGGTTAAATTCCTGACACATTATCCACTCTGTATTTTGATGGAGTGTCTATTCATTACTAAAAAGGTACTTTGGACACTTTTATGATCTACATTTTACATTATTGTGATGTACTCTACCTATTGCTTATGCTGGAGAGTATTGGGCTATTGAGTGGTCCTGTGTGCCCATTCCCATGCATTATCTATTTTATGTCTGTATTGCATGATGCAAAATCAATAAAATACAAGTGAAAAAAAAAAAAAAATATATATATATATATATATCACAAGTCAACGGTAGCACACAGCGATACAGTCCAGGACTTGTTTCTGATTAATTTTGGACAGTAGAGGAGATAAAAAATATTGGATCAGTGATATTATGCTTATTCAAGAAATGCAGTGGACAGTACTACCTATTATGTCAATCTGTCACCATAAGAGAATTTAAGGCAAAAATAGCTCAATTGAAAAAAATGGTAACTATTTTTCGAAGTTGGCTTTCTAATTTGGGGTTTTCCTTTGTCCTTATCCAGTTCAGTGAAAAACCTTGCAGGTATGATGCTTTAATGATAGAACACGTATCTTCTAAGTAGATAGTTAATTTAGGTGGGTGGGTGGGTAGGTAGATGGCATAAAATGCAATTACTAGTATTATTATTAACTTCAAGAGGGCTTTGAGAAAATATTAAAATATTTGCCATACAGAGTTACAAAGCAATATAAACAGTGTAACGTTTCAGATGAAATTAATCTTTATTATTCTA